TAAAAACTAAGCTTCTCGTTAATGGTGATGTACTTCTTCTTGTATTATAATATTTGGTTAAGAATATATATATATTAATTTGGTGTATTGGAATTGGAGATGGTTTTCCAAATAGCTTTGGATATTGAACAATTGATGTGAAAATGTGATATATAGATATTTTGATGAGTAATTTCTTAGATAAGCCAAGATATTATATCATGGTAAAGTATGGATATAGAAAAACAAAAAAAAGGAGAGTTGGCCGAGTGGTCTAAGGCGGTAGACTTAAGATCTACTGGACGGTTGTCCGCGCGAGTTCGAACCTCGCATTCTTCATTATTATTTTTTTGCACCTATTTCGAATTTGTTGTATGAAATAGTGAGGATATAGGATCTTCATTGAATGAATTATATTTTTTTGATGTATTTCATATCTTAGGGGATTAAGTACATGTTATAAAAGTTTTTTTTAATCCTTTTAATTTAAGTAAGCAAAAACGCGATGATTAGATAATCAATAGAGCATCTCCAGTTCAATTCAAAAGCTATAAACAATGGTGATATGGATTGATGGCTTATTCGCGGCATGACATGCGATTCAAGTTTGAAATTCATCATCAGTTCGAATCTCGTCATTAACGATTGATTCATAGCAACCAAGAATAAGGTTTCTTGTTGAAATGAGAAGCTTTTTCTGTATTTGGTTGATGAGGATTTTCGGTGATAACTTTCGCGAAATTTTAAATGAATTCGCGAAATGGGTTTACGAAAATCTAGAATCAATGTTAATGACGAAGGAAAGGAACTGATGATGAACTTCAAGCTTATATAATGTCGTTTTTGGAGGAGATCTTTGGCCGCTAAGGGAGTGTAAGGCGGTAGACTTAAGATCTACTGGACGATTGTCCGCGCGAGTTCGAACCTCGCATCCTTCACTATTATTTTTTTGCTTTATGGTTGAATTTTAGCTCAGTTTATGCTTTTGAAGACATAATATTTGACTTGTACTATGCACTTTTGAAAACGTCGACGTATTGATCTTGTGTAAAAATATTATACGGATCATCGACATCGTATTTCAATTAATATCGATACTATAAATATATATATATCATCAGCTATGCATGTAATTATACGTTTACTTTTAAATTTCATTATATTATAAGCCAGTACATATGCATTAGAGCATAGAGATTCTTTGAGTGATCATTCTTGATATCACAGTGAAATTAATTATATTCCGATCATCTTGGTTAAATATTACGCAAGAGCTCGTAAACATATATCAATATTATAACAATTGTTTATTTATTATGTTATAACTTCTATATTTTACAGCATTATATAAATTGATCACCATTAAAAATAAATCATTTATATAATTTAGCCAAAGAAACTTGACCTTCATCATTCTTATTCAAAACTTTAGCAACAGCTAATTCAAAATCTTCTTGAGTAACATGAATTCTTCTTTCTCTTAATGCGTACATACCAGCTTCGGTACAAACACCTTTAACATCAGCACCTGAACAACCATTCATCTTTTCTGCAATTTTTCTTAAATTTATACCTCTTGTTAAATTCATTTTTCTTGAATGAATTCTTAAAATTTCAGCTCTTGCTGCAACTGTTGGTGGAGGGAATTCAATTTTTCTATCAATTCTACCAGGTCTTAATAAAGCTGGATCTAAAATATCTAATCTATTTGTTGCCATGATAATTTTTATATCTTTTGAATTTTCAAACCCATCCAATTGATTTAATAATTCCAACATTGTTCTTTGAACTTCTGAATCACCACCACTTGAACCTTCAACTCTTGAACTACCAATGGAATCTATTTCATCCATGAATATAATGGAAGGTGCATGTTCTCTAGCCATAACGAATAATTCTCTAACCATTCTTGAACCTTCACCAATATATTTTTGTACTAATTCTGAACCTGAAACTCTGATAAATTTACATTCTGTATGATGAGCAACAGCTCTTGCTAAAAGTGTTTTACCAGTACCTGGAGGACCATAAAGAATAACACCTTTTGGTTGAGCTATACCTAAACTTTCAAATAATTCTGGATGTTTAACAGGTAATTCAATAACTTCTTTAATTTCTTTAATTTGTTTTGTAAGACCACCAACCATATCATAAGTTGAATCAGGAACTTTTTCCACCATCATTAAACTAACTAAAGGATCAACTTTATTTGGTAAAATTTTATGTAAAGTATAAGAATCTGATTTTAAACATACTCTTAATGATGGTTTAACATCTTTAACATCAATTTCCGGTGCTAAATTAACAATATATTTACCTTCAGGATGCATTTTAACCAAGATTTTTTTCTTAGATAAAGGTTTAACAACTTCACCAACATATGAACCTGGTTCTTGTAATAATTTTAATTCATCTTTTAATAATCTAACCCTTGAATTCAAAGTATTTCTTTGGGCCTCAAGACGACGTAAATTCAATGTCTTTGAGTTGATTTGGATTTCAGTATCTTGGATACGTTGTTCTAAAAACTAAAACAAATACAATTGTTAGTATATCTCAACAAAATTGGTTAAAATGTCACAATATGGAAAAGTTTATTGTTACTTACTGGTTTTATACCACCTTCATGAATCACTGCTGTCATTATTTTCTTTATGATATCTAGTCAATAAGGCAAATCTATGCTTTGGTAATTGTCAATTGATATTCCTTAAAGATCTTGTTATTCAAATATTATATTTCTTCTGGTACTTTTATTGTATTTTGCCATCGAAAACAGATTTGAAATGATCGAAAAGCCAAAAATCAACAAGTTTCGCGATTCGCGATCAAGAGGAGCCTTAAAATTCCGGTCATTAAAAATGGTCGGATCTCATGTTTATTCCCCAAGTAAATTGAAAGTAAATGAAATGAAATGAACTGAAATCAATTTGGAATGAATCAACTTTGAAAGTGATAAAAAAAAGGATATCTGCTGGGCTTATTCGGTTATTGCCACAGATATATATGTAAATTGACTTTAAAGAATTTTTGCACTATGAAACTATCCAGTTTATTCTATTTTTTAACAATACTTGGGTTAACATTTGCCTATGAACAATTTTGCAGATGTCAATGTGAATCAGAGTATAAAATCATCCCATTAGAGGATAAAGGATGTAATACTTGTACCAAAAGTTTTTGTGCTGGTCTGAATCTTGAAGAATGTAAAGATTTTAAAGAAGAAAAGATTTTGACCACATGTTTTCGTGAGTATCAATCAATTATACTATCTGATGAATATATGAATCAAAATACTAACAGATTATGATTTCCAATCAGAACGAGAATCAACAAAAGATCAATTGATAGTCTACACCTTCATACTAGTGGCATTTGGACTATTGGCTTATGCAATTATTGGGAAGCCATTGTTAACGAGGAGATGATTAATTATTATGATAGTTGTGATTTTGAAAAGTAAATGAACGTATATTAATGTTTTGAGTTTTAAAGTAATGGTATTAAGTAAACTACCAATAGTTTTGTATATGTATTATATTAATACTTATTGCTTGAAGATGTACACTATTGCACTACAATAAGTCATCTGGTGGTAAAGTTGTGGTTATGTCTTTAGAGCCCAGTTTGACACAATCGATTTCTGCTCATTTAATACCTCTCGAGTCTCGTCTCTTTACGCTTTGTTCTAGTGCTGAAACTTACGCTAGTCGGGGAAAGCAATCAACGCACCGCGCATTGCTTCCTAGGCGGGGCTTCAGCGTATCGATGCGTAAACACCAGCACTGGTCTTGTCAGAACGTCTCAGTTTAAGACCTCTTTTTGCGTTGATAACATGATAACTTTACTTATAATAGTGCTATTGATCTCAACTTTTTACCTCTGAATACCTTGAGAAATATAATTTAAAGCTCCAAGCACACACTAACAAATAACCCTACAAATACTATTCCACCTCATTAAATAACAAACAAGTTAACAGTGTAGCTATATAAATATAATTACTATATCTTTGACGATTACTTAATACATTCTTCAATTTTTGATCAAATAATTTAATTTTGGTTTTTTTTCAGTTTCGCTCAAAAAAAATTAAGAAAAAAAAAATCTGAGCAGAAAAACCGTGGACATTAAAATCAACTCAACTTTAAACAGATAATTGAAAAACATCTCTTCAAATCAATTCAACTCAAGAACTATAAGAATTGTTTGATTTGCCCATTCTTTCTTCTTTTTAAATCCTCTTTTGCTTCACCACTTTTAGCTTTAATCAAATAATCTAAGTCATTAATCGTTCATTTAAAAATATTGAAAAATATCAAAAGTGTACGTGATTTAGATATACAAGTTTAAAAGTAACAAATTAAAAGAAGTTTATATTTGAAAAGAACCATAGTCACTGGCTAGCATTATTGTTAACTAGTAAAGAAGGCAATTTTCCAATCAAGAATAATAGAAGAGACATTAATCGGGACCAAGATCAATTTAAGTTAAAAATGTCCTACAATCCAAACCAGTCCAACAACAATGGCGGTTATCATCCAAGAAAAAGCTATTACAAAAATCCACAAGCACCTCAGTTTGTTTATCCTCAAGCTCCAGCAGCAGCAGGCTATCCAGCAGAATATTTAGGTGCTTATCAACAAGCTTATCAATATTATCCAAATCCTCAAGCTCAATATTATACAACCGCCTCAGCAGCTCCTGGTGCTCAATATGTTCCAGTTTCAGCTCCATCTCCTTATTCTGGTCCTCATCCTCTTAAAATAACGGACGCAAAAGGTGATTCAGTTGATCTTAGACAGTTTAACTCTCCAGGTTATACACCAAAATCAAATGCTGCCAGTTTGAATAGATCATCAAATCCTTCAACTCCAAAAGCTCCAGGCGCCACTGTTTCTTCAGCTTCTTCTTCTCCATATGCTCATCAAAGAACTTCAAGTATCAGTTCCGCTAAGAATTCATCAACTGCTCATGATGATTCAATTGAAAAATTAAAAGAATCATTTAGACAACAAATTCAAGCTAGAGCTCAAAAAGCTAAAGAAAGCAAAAGTACATCTACACCTGTTGAAGCTACAAAGAAAGTTGAAGAAAAATCTGCTACTAGCTCACCTGCTTCAGTTCCAGTTTCAACATCTACTTCTACTCCAGCTCCAGCTCCAGTTGCAGAAAAAGTTAAAGAAGAAAGTTCTAAAAAAGAATCAACACCTGTTAAGGAAGAAACTAAAGTTGAATCAAAAGTTGATGACGCTGAAGAACAAAGAAGAAAATTCAGAGAATCTATTGCTGCAAAGACAAAGAAATTAGAAGAAGAAAAGAAAGCAGCTTCAAAAGCTTCAACTCCTGAACCAAGTACTGAAGTTTCAACTAAAGCAGAAGAATCTAAAGATGAAGCTAAAAAAGAAGAATCTACATCAAAGACTGAAGAACCAGTCACTGCAGCACCAGCATCAGCACCAGCACCAGAAGCAGAAGCAACTAAATCTACTACAGAACAAGAAGAACCTGTTGAAGTTAAAAAAGAGGAACAAACTGAACCAGTTTCTGAAACTAAATCTGTTAGCATTGAAGAACCAAAAGTCGGAGAAAAAGAATCATCATCTACATCAACACAAGAACAATCAGAAACAAAACCACAAGATGAAACTTCAAAAACTGATGGTGAAGCTGAAGAAACTCCAAAAGAACCAGTTGATACATTTACTATCAGTCGTTATTTGGAAACAGTTAATGCTGCTTCAGATATTGATCCATATACATTTGAATACTCTGAAAACTTGGTTAAATTAACAGAAACTGATAGACCATCTGAATCATCTGAAAAGAAATATAGATATCATCCAGGATTTTTAATGCAATTTGCTGATGTTGTCAAATTCCCAGTTGATGAAGAATTTAAAGAAAAAATTAAATTCATTCAAATTAGTGAAAAAGGTGGTAATAGATCATTCTCAAAAGGTGGTCAAGGTGGTCAATTTAGATCAGGCTTTGGTCAAGGTTCCATTGGTGGTGGTTCAGGTTCAGGATTTGCTAAATCTGCTTCATCAAGAGGTGGTAAATTTGACCTCAATTCAAGATCAAACTCCAGACAAAACTCTAAAAGAAAAGGTGGCTCTGGTAGAAATGATAGAAAATCTAATAGGAACAGAGATAGAGAAGTTGAAAAAGAACCTGAAGTTCCAGCTGAACCTGTTAAACCTTTAGAAAAATCTGCTACTAGATGGATTCCAAAATCAAGATTAAAGAAAGCTGAAGATGTTAAATTAGCACCAGATGGTAAAACAGTTATCTTGGATCAAGATGAAGTTAATAGAAAAGTTAAATCATTCTTAAATAAATTGACATTAGAATATTTTGAAGAAATTTCAAATGATATTATAAATATTGCTAATCAATCACAATGGGAAACTAATGCAGAAACATTGAAACTTGTTTTAGAATTAACTTTTGCTAAAGCTTGTGATGAACCACATTGGTCTTCAATGTATGCACAATTCTGTGCTAAAATGTGTAAAGATGTTAAAGATGAAGTTAAAGATGAAGAAATTAAAGATAAATCAGGTGAACCAGTTACAGGTGGTATTTTAGTAAGAAAATTATTATTAACTAGATGTCAAACAGAATATACTAAAGGTTGGGCTGATAAATTACCAGCAAATGAAGATGGTAGTCCACTTGAACCAGATATGATGACTGATGAATATTACCAAGCCGCTGCTGCTAAGAGAAGAGGTTTAGGTTTAATTAGATTTATTGGTCATTTATATGTCTTAGGTTTATTATCAGATCCAATTATTTTAACATGTATTGCTGATCAAAGTAAGAACACTACTGATCCATCTGAAGATGCTGTTGAAAATTTGATTCAATTGATCAAGACTGTTGGTCCAAGATTAGATACACATGAAAATGCAACTTATAAGGGCCGTTTTGCTCAATGTTTCCAACAAGTTCATGAAATGATTAAGAATGCTAAGATTTCATCAAGATTAGAATTTAAATTGATGGATTTAGTAGATTTAAGAAGAAGACGCTGGCAAGGTGGTGAATCTGATGCTGGTCCAAAGACTATTCAACAGATTCATCAAGAAGCTGATTTAAAGAAACAAGAAGATGAAAAAAACAGCAGAGATCGTAGAAATCAAAGCAGAGGTGATTCAAGACAAAACTCATCAAAAGCATCATGGGGTAGTCAAAGAGTTTCTTCAAATGATATTAGAAATATGGGTCATGTTAGAAATTCTAATGCATCATCATCTGGTCCAACTAATAATTTCACAAGAGCTAAATCTTTAAGAGGATCAGCTAGACAACCATCACAAAATGTTAATTCAGAAAACTCATCTAATTCTAATTCTACAGCACCAGTAACTGCAAGCCCGTTAAGTGCTAGAGAAAATTCTAAAAAAGCAGATACACCAGCTGTTAATAGTTTTAATGCATTAATGAATGATGAAAGTCATAAAGATGACGAATCTGATGGGGAACAACACCAAGAAGAAGAAACAGAAAAGGAATCTGAAGAACCAGTTTCTGAAACTGTTGCTGATTCTGAAGAACAACAAGAACCATCAAATGAAACAACCGATGAAGTTGAATCTAAAGAGGAAGAATCAACTAATTGAATTGTTTCAAATATAAAGAAAAAAATAAATTGTGATGAATAACTATTTGATGAGGATGAAATTATTTAAAGTCCAGATTTGCATTTTTGAAAAAAAGAATTACGTGCATTCATATATAAGTATTATAGTATAGTATGGATATTTTATAATTTTTGCAATGAAAATATATTTGTTTAAAAGGAATATGTAGATATAATAAATATGTAATTATGCTATGATGTGATAGGCTATATAATAGTTCTATAGAATATATCTTTTTACTCTTGAGCTGGTTTAAGTAATTTCAAATTTTTTGCATAACCATTCCATACATTTTGTCTATAGTTTGATCCAACAGCCATCTTCAATTTATTATGAAATCTTGATGAATTTTGAGTATGGTAATTTCTTGTTGGTGTATTTTCAGTGATTGATGGAGATTTTGATTCTTCTGATTCATCTAAACCTTCAGGGGAAGAAGCTGCTAAAATTTCACCATTTTCAATATGTTCAATATTTGACTTATTTAAAGAAATAGTCTCTGAACCATTTGTATCATTTAAAATTGTTTCATCATTTAAAGGGGATTCTTCATCATAATCTGGTAAATCATGATTATTCATATCAAGATCCCCGGGTTGATCAAGTGATGTATCAATTTTCCACCAATGAGGTCTATTTCTCCATTTTTGTTTATATTTATTATTGAACTGTTGTACTCTAGATATTCCTGGTGATGAGACAAAACTTAAGCTAATACCATCATTACTATTTTTAGTATTATTCATATTAGTTGTATTTTGAAGATTGGGCCTTGTATAAAAGTTTTCATATGCAGATGAATAATCTAAAAATTCAAATGATTGGAAATCATCACTTATTCTGATCTTTTGATGTGTTTCATCTGTCCAGAATAAATCATGAAGTTGACTATATTTGATGTTTGTAGGTAAAATGGAATTGGAAGTGGATGTTTCTAGTTCAGAATGTAAACTTTGGTGTATACTTCTTCTTAATGATAAAACCAACTCATGGATAAGCACCAATATAAACAATACCGTGGATAACCAAGCATTTACTAAACTTTCAATCTGCCTCAACACGATACCAGCGATTCTTTTGGATTCAAATACAGACACAATGAGCAAAACAATCACCAAGGAGTAAACTTTCAAGCACAATTGTAAAGGTCCCAAGACATAGTTTTTCAATTGGAACCCACCAACATCACCAGCATCACCAACATAACTCATCACTGGATCCTGATCCTCACCAACTTCAATACTCATCATGAAGATAATTTGAGTACCTGATCATGAGGATTCTTTGTCAGTTTAAATAAATTTAAATATTCAGCGGCTAATATTTTTTAAGGATGTTAATTTATAGTATTTATATTCTGGAGAGTGGACAAACAAAGATTAAGAAATTAATCAAAAGTTCAACATTTTAATGGGATTTCCATAACACATTTTCATAACATTTTGATTCTTTGATGCTTTGAATTACTAGTTGATGAATTCAAAACTTGTTTTAAATTAAAAGTTGACGATACCAGAAGGGCTGCTAACCAAGAGATTCTTAAAACGTAAACAAATCATATAAACAACATCTTCAAAACTCAGATCAAAACTTAGATCAAAATTTACATCAACACTCATCTATGAAAATGGCTAGTATATTTGTCACTACTGGGGCTACTGTTACTTTCAAAAGACTAATTGAAATTACTCTTGACTCTAAATTCATCTCTCATGTTCAAAACTTGGGTTATACAAAATTGATTGTTCAATACGGATCTCAACCAGATGGTGAAACATTATTTAAATCATTATTGGAAAAATTGGACATTAAGTCATCATTGGTTGATAATTACATAACTGGTACCACTTTATATGGGTTTCAAATATCAGGATTCCCATTTACTAATGATGTTAAATCAATAATGGAATCTTCAGATCTTATAATTTCTCATGCTGGTACAGGTTCAATATTAGATTCTTTAAGATTACAAAAACCTTTAATCGTGGTAATAAATACAAATTTAATGAATAATCATCAATTAGAAATTGCAAATGAATTGGAAAATTCAAATCATTTAATAAAATCCTCAAGTGAAATATCAGATTTATTAAATAAAATTGATAAAATTCAAATCACAACTTTAGTATCATTACCAAAACCTGATTTTTCAGTTATAGATAATATCTTACAAGAAATATGACAATACGTGTTTAAGCTACTGTTATGACATCCATACTAAACTTAATAATATATAATGACTTTATTGATTAATATAATATGTACATATAATTACAATTAATGTCAATAACATCCATGCCACATCCTAAATTCAAGTTAATATATAAGACAATGAAAAACCGAAAAAAAAAAAAAGAAGACAACTTTTGTCAAATTATTGGGTTGTAATGTTGTAATTGTCATGATAAAAATACAAAATTCTAAAAAATTGTAACAAGGAGAACTGAAATATAACACAATGCGTCATGATAATAAATAACTTTGATAAAGATATAAACATACATCTTATCAATTCCAAGATTGTTGCGAAAATTCATTCATTAACTTTGCACGATCTTCTAAATTATTCATAATTGAAATATTTGGTTTATAAGGTTTTGCAGTTGCAAATCCTGACCATTCTTTGAAAATAGGATCATAATCTTGAACTAATAAACCTGAATCTGAAATATCTTCAAATCGAACTTCTTCATTCAAAAACAAATGTTCATTAAAACCAAATTCTGTTAAATCATCACTCATATTATCCACTGATATTAAAGCACTAAAATTTGTTGAAAAAGATCCACTTGATGAAGGACTATCATTATTTGAAGTAGATAAAGAATTATTATTATCAATTGAATTCTCCTTATCAGCTTTTGGATAATTCCATTGACGAATTATTGTATTTTTGAAATTAGATATTTGAACCTCTCTAATTTTTTGAGTTTTTCTTGATTGAAATCTATTCTTTGGTAATTCTCTTGGAAATGGATTTAATATTTTCATAAATTTACTGAAAAAATCAACTCTCCTTGTGAAAAAACTAGTTAATCTTAATGAATAACTTGCAAAAAATAATAAATCTTTATTTGGTAAATCATCTGTTAAATCACTTTTAGTGAATGGATAAAATGTAGTTGGACCAATAAATCGATGTTGTGATAAATATCTTGATTCTGGGAAAACACTATCTAATACTCTTGCAAGCATATAATAAAAAGAATAAAAAATCTTGTGTATATGAGAACTCATATAGTTGATACAAAATGTCTCACTTGGTAAAATACTGTTAAACCTAAAATAAATTTCGTACATCAAACCTGCTGGATAATCTGTAATATATTCTTCATTATATTTGAACCTAACTTCACTATTAATCAAATATGTTTCAATAAACTCAATTAATTTATCATAATGTAATGATAATAAACTATCATTAGATTGATCAATATGAAATTTATAATCTTTAATGACTTCATAAACTTCAAACAATACATCAAAATTATAAGAAGGAATAAATAATGCCGAAATAATATGCTCTAAAGATTCAATAACAAATTTGGCAAATGGTGAAGAATCTGTTGTACTCGAATGTAATTCTTTTAAGACTGTTAATGAACCATCAATATAATAACTTTTCAATGAACTTTTACTTAACAAATCTAAACTCTCAAGACAAACTGTTGGGATTGTAATTTCCGAATATAATTGTAAAGCTTTTCTAAAATCTTTTTGATCTTGTGCTTCAATAACTTTTAAAACAATTTGTCTTAAATGGATCAAACATTTGGATTTATTCTTATAAGTAAATTCTTTTAAAAAATTTATATCTGATTCATCAATATTAGAATTTAAATATTCAATTTTTTCATATTTTCTTTTCAATTGGATCATTAACCAATATGATACCAAACAAAAATGGCTATTAAATGAATCATTGAAATTAAAATAAGATTTATTGATCAAAGAAGTATAGAAAACACGACCTTGAAACGATGATTCAGGTTCTCCAAAGAATTTAATCATTTGAGATTTTAAAATTGTTGGAACCTCATGCCGTATTAAGTTTAATTTAACAACATCAACATTTGTTGAGGATGTATCTTGTGAATTTGACGATTTTGAAGATTTGGATGGAGAAGTTGTTGAGCTAGCTGAATTAGGCGAACTTGGAGATGAACTATTGAACAATGCTTTTTGCTTTTTCTTTTCCTCAATAAAGTTTTCTTTCTCTTCCTCAGTAAAAGACAAATAACTGCAAGGTATCTATGGTGAAAAAACAATTGTTAATATCAGAATTCCTTTAAATATATATATATATAAGTATATCTGTATTTGATTTATGTATTGACCTTCATCTATAATTGACTTAAGATATAAGAAAGAAGAAACAATACATTAATCACCCAAAAGATTCCCCATAAAAATTATTACTCACTTTGACTTGACGGATACGACAATTTCTGCATTGTGGTAACTCTTCATCACATTTCATTCTTCTTTCTTTACATTGTACACATCCTGTTGATATAAAATGTTAGTTAAATGTTGATGTTTATGGTTTTACCGCTTAGCTTGTAGGACTTTATTTTACCGTCCTTCAAGACATGGAGGGATTCTAGACACACTTACCTAGTTTGGAATTTTTGTGCTTTCTTCTGGGTTTCCTGAGTCTGTCCAGCTTAACAATCTGGTTCTGCTGAAGGTCTCCTGTGATTGAAGACATCTTGCTATCCGTTTAAAATCCAAGAGTCTGTGAAAAGTTAACAATGTCATAAATTTGTTTTCTTGAAATCTTTCGAGTATTTTCATATTTTTTTTTGAATCAAAAATTAAATCTTCAATGTACGTCAAAATTCAGGCTTAAACTATTTCCTTCACCGTTTCGGTTTTTGCGCTTTTAATAGGAAAAATTGGCGTCTTCCTAAAATGGTCCCATCGGCGATCGGTTAAACTGAATTTTGCGCAAAAACTGCAAAAACTGCAAAAAAAAAACGAAAATTTCCTTTCGCGAAATTTTGAGCTCGATCACGTGACTTTGCGTGGATATAAACATTCAAAAAACCTCTCATAAATTGAATTCTGTGTCATAAAAATTACATTGATGTTTCAATTTGTTTCATCATCACTTGTTACTATACCACAAAACATTTATCAGAGAATGTGTAGATTTCTTATATTCAAAGGTATGAAACATTCTGATTCATTTTACATTCATTATGAAGTCCCAATATTAACATCAATGATGTTTAGGAAAAGATCCAATATTATTGTCACATTTATTGACAAAACCAGCACATTCCATTATAAAGTACGTATATTATTCTAATACGTTTTAATAATATCCTTACTGACAACAAAATTTTAATAGTCAATCATTTGATAGTCGACTACGGCTAGATAAGAGGTGAGTAATCATTCTAAAATGAGAATGTAATTATTATGATCACTAACGTATCAATATAGACGTCCAATGAATGGTGATGGGTTTGGCTTGGGTTATTATTCCTTAGATCCAGAACTTGAAGATGGGCCATGTGTGTTTCGTGCTATAACGCCTGCTTGGAATAATATGAATCTTGAAAGGTTGGCTGAAAAGACAAAATCTAATCTAGTATTTGCCCATGTTAGAGCTTCAACATATGGGGTTTTATCAGAAACAAACTGTCACCCTTTCACGTATCACTCATTAATGTTCATGCATAACGGTGGTATATCTGCATTTGGCAAGATTAAACGAAAATTAGTTCAACATATAAGTGATGAATATTTTATTTATTTACAAGGATCAACTGATAGTGAATGTTGTTTTGCCTTATTTTTAGATACATTGGATAAATTAGGTGCTAACCCTGCTCAGGATAATGCAAACTTTGGACATGCTATAATTAGAAAGGCATTATTGCAAACTATTGATTACATTAGAGAATGGACAAGAGAAATAACAACTGAACCTTCATTATTAAACTTTGCAGTTACTGATGGTCATTCTGTTGTTGTTTCAAGATATATCACATCGAAAACTGAAGAGGCTGCTTCACTACATTTTAGCTCAGGATCGAGCTTTGTGGAATACGAGCCAGGTGAATACCGTATGGAAAGATTAGATCGTGGTCAAGACGTTATCATGGTTGCATCAGAACCTTTAACTTTCCAAAGAGGTGATTGGATAGCAGTTCCAACAAACTCCATTTTAACAATTAAAAATCAAACGGTGTTATTACATCCAATCAAGGATGAATATTACCAGGAAGATCCATTATATTCAAGATCTTCAACATTCGCTGAAAGTAAAGGTCTTATGGGTAGTGTACCTTTAGCTGTGGCACCAGATGTTGATGTTCCTCCTTTGGAAAGAGAGGGTCGCTCAAGAGCGCTTCCAGTTTCCTGATCGATTCGAAAGTACCAATATATACTCAAATAAATGAGCACCATCAAGTATAGTTAATAGTTCAAGTAATTGTATGTAATTAGATTTCGCGGTGTAAGTTTTTTTTTTGGGGGTGGTCGAGCGAGCCCAGGATAGAGATCAGAAAAATATATTGTTATACTGGTCAATGAGTGGTTAAGAAAATAGTTAAATATCAACTTTGTGTAACCATAAAAATGTCGTATAGGGGGTTTGGTCTAGATACAGCTGGTGCTGCTGGGCCTAAGAAGCACTATTCTGAAATGACACAAGAAGAACAGGCTGAAGAAGGTGCCAAACAAATGATTGAATTTATGTCATCATGTCCTGGAAAAGCTGCAATGTCTGGTGTCACTGGTTTTGGTTTGGGTGGTGTTTTCGGTTTATTCATGGCTAGTGTAAGTAAATCTATTAAAGTTTTGGTGTATTTAATAATACTAACATCCCTCAAGATGAGTTATGATGTTCCAATCGGTGGTAATCAAGCAAGTCATATATCAGATCTTCCATGGAAACAACAAGTTAAGATCCAATTCAGTGATATGGGTAAAAGAGCTTGGTCTAGTGCAAAGAACTTTGGTTACATTGGTATGATTTATGCTGGTGTCGAATGTGGTGTTGAATCAGTATGTTGATATTATATTTAAAATCATTAAAATGGAGTACTAACCAATTTTCAATTTAGTTGCGTGCAAAAAATGATATATATAATGGAGTTGCTGCTGGTTGCTTGACGGGTGGTGGTCTTTCTTATAAGGCTGGCCCACAAGCTGCATTTATGGGTTGTGCTGGTTTCGCTGCTTTTAGTACTGCTAGTAAGTATTTTAAACTTTTAAGAGATACGATATTTTAGATTTTACTAACACTGGTAATAACAGTTGATCTCTACATGAGAAGTGAATCAGGAAAACCTCCTTCAAATGATTATGATGAATGATAAAACTAAGCTGTATAATACAATTATTGTGTTCATTATGAGAAATTGATCCTTTGGATAATTCTCTGCTCTGTATATAATTAAATGTCCTTTGGTATAATTAAGTAATGAAATAATGGTTCTCTTTTTTTGTTTGAAGAATAGACTTCTCTTGAAATTTCTTGTAATTCTTTCTAATTTTTTCCTAGAATATGAATTTTTGAAAGTAGATGTATAATATCATTATCAAAATGAATAAAGTTATTGGACTACCTAAGATTGACCTGCAATTCAAATGTATTTCCTTTCTGTTGTTGGATTTGCGTGAAGACGGACCATGTACATAATCTGATGTGACTTCAAGCGGTGGCTTTAATTTTGTTAGTGGTTTTGGAAAATTATCAGGTGTGAATGATGAATCTCGAAGTTTGAATCCATTTAATAACATATCTTTCTCAAAAGAATTTTCAAGTTTCATCCCATCTGCAGTATTATTATAAGATTTAGGGCTCATATCACCACTGGAGGTTGGAAATCTAAAGGATTTTGGTGTGTGAGGCTCATTTAAGATATCATCAGTCTGTACAACGCGATCAACGAGCTTCTTTTCTGCTTGATCTCTTTGAAATGTTTTCAGTGACTTTCTCAATTTTTCCTTGTAAATATCGGTATCAGCGTCGTGGCTTAAGTTTTGACCCAATGGATATTTTAATCTATTGATTGTATTCCTTTGATGTGACGTTTTGTTTTGACTATTGTTCAATGTTTTCTCTTCGTTCTTTTTCTCGATATCTCTGGGACTGGTCAAATATGGCAAAGGTAATGGTTCACCGAGGTATTTCTTGACATCAGCTCTTCGTATTCTGGTAGGTTTTGCGTGATGCTGTGATTCTTGAACGGGTTGAAATTCAGTATCTAATAGAGCTTCTTGAGTTTGTTTATTATGAAGTCTTTTGTGTAATTCCAAAATTCTTTCACGATTTTTGGTCAATCGTATATTACCATTGAGGCTCCGATCTGACCTTGGGGAGTCTCCCATTTCTATAATATCGTCCTCACGGATTAAACAATATTGTTTCCTTCACTGTTCTAGGAAATTTAGCATTACAGCTATGAGATATTTAATTAATTGTTCAATGTTTATACCAGATGTTTTTTGAAATTATCTACGCGTTGCCTAATCAACGAATAAAAATCAAAAAAAATGGTAAGTCCAGAAGCGTCAAGATCAACAAATTATGAGCTTAATCAAATTTAATACCGTTAATTATTGGTCCACCATATTGCGAATTATAGGTTGTATATATATTTACAAATTAATACTTTATATATATATATATATATATGTATTATAATTCATGTTAGATTGACAATATTATAGATCTGCACGTATAATTTTGTCTTAATATGAATCAGAAGATCATAAATTTCATTAAACAAAGTGAATATATCAATCAAGAAGAATAATGCAACTGACGTTTGCAATCTTCGACCCTGTAAATAAATATGTAATTGAAGTGATCAGAGTTTGAAAATCTATCAAGTTATTAAAGCCTAAGAGATGGTAAAAGGTGCTAAGAAAAAAAAAATCAAATTTCCCAAACAAAATAACAATTGAGCTGTATAAAATAGAGAATATATATTGTGATGAAACCGGCTATTGATCATAGAAACAACATGTCGCCGAGATCAATCAATATATATAGATGATAATGCAATGTTTCCATATCGTATATCAAAATGATGAAATGAGAAACTTATAATAAAAGATCCAAAAAATGTAAAATGTGACATTCAAAGAAATAAGAAATCATAAAATTAAATTAAAAAGTGGAGATGATTGATATAAAAAAATTAAAAAATGAAATAGTGAAAATGACGTGAAATGGGAAATGACAAGAGTATGAACAAGAGAGTATGTAAAATGGGAAATATAAAATATGAAATTGGTAATATGGGAAATGACAAAGAGAAATGGTAACTATCACAATTCAATGAAAAGGGTTTCACAAACAAAGGGGTATCTTAAAATTGGAAGTTTTGTTGTTCACCAGCATTGAAAGTGAAAGCATCACCAGCTTGCTCTGGAGCTAATCCAGTTTCATCTAATTCATCTTCAGCAGCAAAGTATTTATCAACAATTTGGAAGGCTTTTTCATAAATTTTTGAGTTTTCATTGTTCTGACAATCATAAATTTTTTCCATACCACCACATTCTTCAATATAGATAGCATTTTCATTTTCAGCTAAACCTCTAGTATCCTTATCTAATTCACCCATTTTTAAGATGTTTTCTAAAGCATCTAAAGTGACTTCAATGATTTTGTTATCAGCAACGGCTAATAAATCACATAATGGTTTAATACAACCTTGGCTGACTAAATAACGGATAATATCAGGTTTTGTTAAACCACCTGATGAGGCATTTGAAATGGCCCAACAAGCTTCCTTTTTAGTTTTATAATCAGCATTTTCTAATAATCTAATTAATGGTGGAATTAAGTTTGAATCAATAACAGCTTGGATTTGTTCTGAATTACCAGCAGTAATATTTGAAATAGTCCAAGAAGCTTCTTTTCTAATAGACTCTTTTGGAGAAGATAATAATGGTAATAAGGCAGGTAAAACTCCAGCATTAATAACAATTTGAGTTTGTAAATCATTACCTGTAACAATGTTACCGACCGCTCTTAGCGCAGGAGTTTGAACCAAAGTAGTTTCATGACCTAATAATTCAACCAATCTTTTTGGAATTCTGGCATCAACAACAGCTTGGATAGCTTCAGCTGGCCCATCAGATAAATATGAAATAGCCCAACAAGCATCAATTAAAGTTTCAACATCAACTGAATAAATTAATTTTGCTAAAGTTGGTAGAGCTTGGGAGACAACATTCCAATCTGGTTGAGGATTTTTACCTCTACACAAGTTTGATAAAGTCCATGTAGCGGTTCTTATTAATGACATTTTGGTTGTGTTGAATAATGATAAGACAGGTTCCATTGCGTTACATGATAAAACATAGTCTCTATATTGAGCGGAATCACCAGCAACATTACCTAAAGCCCAAATAGCTTGTTCTTTAACTTCTAAAGAGGAAGAATATAACAAACTAACAAAATGTGGTACAGCGCCAGCTTCAACAACATATTTTGTTTGTTCAGAAGTACCAGAAGCAATATTTGTCAATGCCCAAGCGGATTCTAGTTGTAACATTTCAGGTTGATTAACCATAAAGGTGACTAAAATTGGAACAACCCCTGATTGAATAACCAAATCAATTGGTGGGTTACGTTCTCTTGATAAAATTTGTCTGAATTTAACAGTTGAAGCTAATTGAGAATCGAAATCATTTGATTGAATTTGTTCAATCATTCTTGGTAATTCTTGTTGTAATTGATTTAAAAATGAAGAATCATCATCTTTTTTTGAAGCATCTTCATCATCTGAATCTTCAGTACTGATGTTGAAGTTTCTTCTTTTAGCTAAAGTTTCATCTCTTTTAGCTTTTCTTAATTCAACACTTTGATTTTCACGACGACGACGTAATTCCTCTGGGTTGAATCTACCTTTGTTCTTGAAATTTGTACGACGATGATCTGGAATATATTTATTTGTTGAATCTGAGTCCATTTTTGAAATGATTAATCTCTCTATTTTTTAATTGAATTAGGAGCTCTTATATCTAACTAAAAGAGTGATTCTTTATCTTGTGACTTAAAGATCAAGTTTATAAAAGGAAGAAAGAATTGAATCCCATCACATATTTTTTTTTTCTTTCCACTGTTTTGTTTTGATGAAACCAGCAACAATTTGCCACTTTCAGTAATTTACCCTTTTGGGCTGCTAATGGTGCAGGGTAAACAAAATAAAAACCTTCGCGAATTTGCAACCAGGACAACTTCTTCTATGGGGGTATAGTAGATATTTTTGTGGGTTTATCAAAGGGCTTTCTTTAAAATTGTAAGCTTTTTAACAACAAATTGTATCTATTATTTTGCTTATTCAAGACTAAATATGCTTAGGATATGCCCAAATAACTTCAAAAGTGTGTGTCTTAGAGGCTTCCATACCTCAAAAATCATTTTCAATACCACTACAGCAGAGACAGATCTTGGTTCTACCAAACCAAACTCCACTTCCACTAAGCAAGATCGAGTCTTTATTAAATCACCATATACAATCAAAGCCTTACCAATTGATCCAAAGTTTAGACTGGGATATGACCCTATTTATATTTCACCCTTAGGATCAAGAATCTCCCTTATTAAAAGAGTAGCATTGGGTATAGGTGCTTTCGGTGTTTATAGCTCACATTTAATGTTCAATTCTTCATTCTTCACGGATGAGATGGCTTACATTGTTTTGGCATCTACATTATTACCAAATCCACTTATCAATTTTTATACAAGGAATTATGTTAATAGAATCTATAGATTATACGATACAACTAAACCACAAACTTTGAAAAATTTAACTCATGAAGAAACTTTAGTGGCAGAAAAAATTTCATGGACTGGTAGGTCATTTTATAATAGATTAATGAAAGTTCAGGATCTCAGATTAACTAAATCAAAAATTGGGCTCTATAATTGGAAACTGAAAGAGGATAAATTCTATATTGTTGATGATATTGGTGGTATCAAAATGGATCGTATCTGGGGTATTGTGGAACATAATTCAGGTGTTGATAACGGTAGATTCTTTGGCAAATGAAAAATTTGTCCAACAATATGTTCAGCTATTTTACACTATTTATTTTGCATTTTATTTATCACATATTTATTTTATTATTCTATTGTTATATTTTTGTTTAGCGTAGACGTTATTTAACTCAATCTCGAATAAGGTACGTATATCTCCATATTCTATCGGTCCCCCAGTGGTTAAAGCGAGAGAAAAAAAAGTCTGACAGAAACATCCGAGATGCGAAAAAACCAAAATAATAACTTCTCAATCTCAAGTAATTTCAACAACAACTTATAAGCTACAACGCTACAACTCCTAATTTCATCAACTAAATTCAACAATTAAAATATGGAATCTATGGAAATCGATGTATGTATATTCATGAGATAGAAATCACCCGAATGAAAGATACTAATATCTTAAAAGTCTTCCTCAGAAAGTGTTTTGAGGCCAAATTCATTATGGTTACATGGTGTTGATAATTTATCAACAGCAGATATCAAACAATATATCAAAGAATACATTGAAGCACCTTTCAAAATTGAATGGATCAATGACGTATCGTGTTAGTATCATTTCTCTTTGCACTGGCTCTTTTTTTTTTTGCTTGAAGATATACTAACAAGGCTGAAGTAAATGTTGTTTTTGAATCTGATGAGGAAGCCAAAGATGCACTAAACAATTTAACACTTAATGGAGAAATTGAGTTACAACCAAGTGAAGAAAGACAAGCTCAAAAAATCAAGTCTGATAAACCTGATACACATTTAACTATTAGAATCAGTAATTTGAGTGATAAGAAGGTAAAAAATGCTGCTGCATACTCTAGATATTATCTTTATAATCCTCCAAAATATGAATTAGATAAAGAAAAGAGAAAGTCAAAAGGGAATAATTATCGTGAGAGAGAACCTGTTCGTTTTAGACGATCAAATGTGGATGACGATGACGATGATGGCACAGATCTTTTCCCGGAGAAGGCACCTAAAAGTGAAAATATTGATTCTGAACATACTATACCGAGTACTACTGAAGATGTGGATTTGATATCAAGTGATCAAATTTCCAACAATGCAACATTATCTTCCAGAATTGGATTGAGAGATGATTTGAATGATAGTAATCCGGACAATACAACTTCTTCACCACCCTCAAAATCAAGTAGTCTATTAGACAGAATTGGATCTAAATTTAAAGAAAAAAATTTAGAAAAAGATGATTTATTTAGTTGAATTATAAATTTACAATGATATCTACAAGAACTTGTGTAAACCAGTATATTATGAATTAACAAATCATTTTTGATGATTAATTTGAATGAAATAGTGTTGAATTATTTTTATTTAAATTATCTTTTTCCTTTCTATAAAACATATCATATAATGTCATGTTTGTAAAGAAAACTTTATTAATTATAAAAACACAAACTTTGAAAAACGAACAATTTGTAAGGGGGAAAAAGTTTTATACAACTTAAAGTTGATGTGGTATATATTGTGATATTGTGATGTATAAGAATTCATGACAAATTATTGATGTGTATGTATGATAGTTGAAATTTGATGATGTTTGATTGATTTCAAATTCTCAATTATTAATCTATAATAATAAAGAAAGACCAGCAAGAACAACTGAACCAATACCAACACCATAGACAGTAGCAGCACCATTTTCTGAAACAGCTTTGTTGACATTAGATGAATGTGGAGTTTTGTTGAATCTACCGTAACTATGAGTACCTGTTTCTTTGGTAGTAGATTCCTTTGCAGTCTTATCAAATCTACCATATTTATGAGTACCTGTTTCTTCAGTTGTTGATTCTTTTTGGGTCTTATCGAATCTTCCATATTTGTGGGTACCAGTTTCTTCTGGTGTTGATTCTTGTTTAGTTTTATCAAATCTACCATATTTATGAGTACCAGTTTCAGTGGTTTTTGATTCTTGTTTAGTTTTGTCAAATCTTCCATATTTATGAGTACCGGTTTCTTCTGGTGTTGATTCTTGTTTAGTTTTATCGAATCTACCATATTTATGAGTGCTGGATTCAGTAATGTCTTTATTGACTGCAATAACTTCTTCAGCAGCGTTGGCAAAACCAACAACAGCGATAGCACCTAAGACTAAACCAGAAAACTTCATTATTCACAGATTGTATTGATGATTTAATAAGGAACAATAAGTTGTAGTTGTTGTTGTGAATCAAAGAAACGATATCTTCAAACTTTTATAAAAATGCTGGTATTTTTTTCTCACCACTCACCACACTTTGTTTTTTCCTTTTCTAATTCCTCTCAATCCGAGGCCAATAAAAAATGAATAAAATTTATGGAAATCGGCAACTGAAAATCGCTAAAAATGGAAGTCAATTACAACGTATTTCCCTATTAGGTATCTGGATTATGTCATCCAACTCCCAGCTTTAACCTAATTTTGGGGGAACTGGTCAACAAATGCGGAATAAAACACTCTTCGGCTGGTTGTATTTTGCGAAATTTGCAGAAACAGAAGTAACAGGTAACAGGGTACATGTAACCTTTGCAATTTGGCGAAATCTGCGAAATGATAAGGCCTAATTATTAAGTATGTAATTTGTATAATATATTTCTCATAGTAAGTGAAAAGTTAAAACCCTATATTTGACAACATCTCGTTATATTGGACTTTTGTAGTGGTACAGGTAATAATACTTGATTTTAAGGCTTCACTTCACTATATCTAAAATGTGTGGAAATTGCTCGATATTACCAATTAAAGAACCTATATTATTAATATATATATTATCATTATGTAATCAGTTACTAATCAAATTCTACACAGAACCTATAACCATCAATACTATCATATATATAATAGCTGAATTGACAGCTAATACACTGTGGCTGACCGGTATCTTTTAGCACTACGCTCCATGTCTTTTTTTGCTCGAATTTAAACTAATTAAAATTTTTAGTGTTTTTGGACTATAAAATTCTGAACTGCACAAAAAATTTTAAAGGTTGACTTTATTTCTGAAGTGAAAATTTCTAATTTTTCATAGTGATTTAAATCATTTATAATTGACATTATGCGATAGAGAAAGGGTCATTGACTATAATAATTCTTTTTTTAATATAAGTCTACTATTTTGCTCCTGTTTTAGACGCATTTTTATATCTTTGGATTATGTAATCAATATGTATATTAATATTGAGGAGGTCGAGAAGCGAAAGAAGCGAAAATAAGTTTAACTGGTCATATAATGATCGAGAATTCCCGTTCATGAACCTATTTGAGTGATTGAAGGTTGTTGTCAGATAATTTAATTACTTGAATCAAAGTTCTTATCAATAATAATTGTAATGGGTACACTTGTAGTAAAACAAATGGGAGATAATGTATTAAACAACTTATATATATACATATTTACCTGGGATTCACTTCCCTTTACATAGTTTCCTAGATCATAATCTAATACTCACAATCTAAGACAATCTATACTAATTGACGCAAGTACCAAAACCATGACATAACATGTCATGTAAACCCAATATAACCAATGATATTGCAATACTTTCGTATCTATGAGCATTTACTAGTACTAGCTAAATGCTTAACTTGTTAACCAAACTATTTCATCACCATAATATTCATTATTGACGTATCTTTATGATCATAACGTCATCATAAAACTCATCTCGTAATGAATATATTCTATCATATACAGTGCCATGTGTGCTAGTGAATGTTTCAGACGATTTTAATACCGATTGAGTTTGAAACTTAATCTGCCCTTCTAGCTTCTATAATCAATGGTCATATGATTGAATCTTCAACATGTACGAAACCTTTCGCTAAACCAGTAGATAGAATATGGGAAGAAACGGATACCATAATAATCATCAGATCTTTTCAAAGACCAGTAGTTTTGGATAATATCTTCTAATATATCGAATAAATATCGCTTGAAATTTAACAGACCTGGTTTAGTTCAGAAGTGCAATATTACGTTGAAAGCTTGGACCACCGGCTTTGAAATAACTAGAATAAACATTATACCCCAGACCAGACGATATCCTGCTCCTGCTATAATAATATTCTTGAAATGTTCCTTTTTATGTCAATGTAATAACTGATAACTCATAAGTACTGAAAAACAGTCGAATTTATAGACGCATAGGCAGTGGGCACTCGTACAAATTATTGATGCATAATTACCGTTTAGTAGCTGTTGTCAAGAATTTCTTCTCCGGGACTTTGAAATTCATGGGTAAATCTAGAACATCAAAAGTTAAAACACATTGAAACTAATTAGTAGATAAGCCAAAAGGGATGCAGGGTGCAGTTATTACAATTTACGACCCACCTGTCACCTAGTCACAATACAATAAGACTACTATAGGAGGTGCTGAAAAACATGAATGGCCATTATAGAATCAATATACCAATCGTTTTTTTCGAAAACCCTATGTTTAAATTAAGCAGACTGCATGGTAATATAATAATAATTATGGAAAGTGTTTTTCTTTATTCTGGAACTACATTTAAGGTACGCCCTTGTTTTAAAGCTTAAAAATTAACATAGTACGCGTCAATTCATGATTTTCGATAAATATATGACAATTATATAAAGGCATAACGAGTACGTAATTTGATGTAACTTTCAACTATAATCCCTATATTGATCAAGCCTCATAATACACTATCACATTGTGCTAATTCAAAGCGAAATCTCGCATCACCTAGTTGAAATAACGAAAATATGTCAGATACAACTTCCATTAATAATGACATTTCTCATCATGATTTGAGTGAAAGTCAGACTAAGGAACATAATAATACTGAGTTGAAGAATAATAACATTGAAGTATCAATCCCAGTAAAATCTGGGATAATGCACAATTATAGAATACTTTGGATGATTAGATGGGTTGAATTTTTCTCATCAGCATCAGTTGTTACATTATCAGGATTGTCTGTTGCATATTTTTTCAGAAGAGATGGAAAGATGGCGTTTGTTTTAGCTTTAGGTGCTATATCTTTTGTTTACCAGTCTTTAATTCTTTATGACATAACTTGGTTTTTTAATAAATCCAATAAAAGATTAATTACTTTAAGAAGATTTGTGATTATTTTTGACTTAATTTTATCTATTCTATGGTTAATATCATTCATTCTGATTACCATTGAATATCCAAGATATGAATGTCATAAACAAGGTAAAAATAATAGGGTTGATGGATGCAGATCAGGAAAAGCATCCATTGCTTTCTCTTTAATCAATTTTGTGTTTTATTTAACTGGTGCAATAGTGTTGCTTTTCAATACAAATACTAGACTGAAACCTAGAGAAAACTTTAAATTGATACCACATCTTTTAGATTTTGAAAATTAATTAATTAATGTTTGAAAGACGTTGGCACGTTCATTCTTTTTTATTTATAAGATTGCTGTTATAAATTTGCACATTTGTTCAGAGGTCTACTGAGCAGTATTTCAATATAAATATCAGCTATATAATTTGAGTATAACCTGACCAATTAGCATGTTTTTAATGCAATTACAATACCCTAAACTTTTTGACACATGTATACAATAAGTAGGTATATACCCTTTTGAAGCTGGTTAACATTATTTCAATTGTGTATCAATGACATCTTCAATAGACCAAGATATTTTTTAACCTTATTATTAACTTTGGTCATCCCATCGTGGTACAATTTAAAATGCAGACTTTAATTATGCAGATTTCTGATATAGATTGATCTTATAAAGCTCACTTATAATGAAGCTAACAATTTGGAGCTAAATAGAGATCATATGAGCTTAACAAAATGGTTGTTTTTAGTTGACATATGGAGCTTTCTTTTTGGGTTATATCCGCTACTATGAAGCGTGAATTGTGATCTAAGAGATTTCGAATCTAAACTCCATATTAATCTTTTTCAAGGGAATCATGCATAAGCGCTGAGAATCAAAACAATCACACAAGAAAATAATCAAATTTACAGGGTCCCCCAACAGTTATGAGCTATTATGAGTTAATTTACTATACTATTATACACAAATAGTTACTTGAAGTAAATCAATCGCTCTACCCAAGTTTAGCTACATGTCAATATTAACGTACAACCACTTAACACTTAACTCGCTTCTTTTTGTAGTTGATTAAACGGCTGATAGAAATTGATGACACACTGCAATTCTATTAGACAAACTTTGCTTTCAAAAGGCTGCAAATGCAAAATTATTTTATAGATGGTTACTGGATTTATTTAGCTTTAAACAATTGAAGAATATTTAAACCATGGAATATTCAGTTTTTATTAGTTTGAGTCTTAACCATATCATATGAAATTTAATTGCCATCGAAATCATGTCAGAACAAATTGAAACTGAAAAGGTTCATTCATCTGTTCATCAGCCAAAAAGTTATCAAAGAATCCTTTCCAATACAATTTTCGGGTACATTATTCGAGTTTCTCAATTCATCAGTACAATTTTAGTTTTAGCACTTTCTGGTGATTCACTCAATAGGTATGCAACAAGTGGATCTATGGGATTCACAATATTCACAGCGGTTTTCACTTTGATTTATTTGATTGTTTTCACTGTGATTATGTTAGTTTCTCCAAATATTCTTATTTTAGGTGTTAATTTATTGTTGGAGTTGTTAATAACAGTGTTTTGGTTTGTTTCATTCATTGCAATTGCCGCCATCTATGGACCTGATGAATGTTCTGCCACTGTTGGTTATGGATGGTACAGATATACTTATATTTCAAACTCATGTAAATCATCAAAAGCCGCCATTGCATTTGCAGCAGTTAATTTTGTTTTATTTCTCATTTCATTTGTGTCATTGGCCATCACATCTTTCAAAATTATACCAGCTCAAAAATTTTGGGAAATAAATGATCGAAATGGATTAAAATTCAATAAACCATTATTAGCGGTGAGTAGCGTTGGTAATAGTTTTGGATCTAATGATATTGAAAAACCTATTGAAGAGATTGAGAATTCGGAACCACATGTGATTAATGATCAAGATGAGGCAGCATCCACTAGAATCACCAACGAAGAAGCTGAAAATTCTCGAAACACCAATACTGAAACAGCCACACCAAGAGCAAACCAAAACTAGGGAGCTATTTTAATTTTTCAACCTCTTAATGTTTAAGTTATTCACTTTTTAGAACTAAATTTGTAGTATGCTCAACGATAACGTTTAATAAGGCTTAATATTTTTGCGAATATTTATATTTATGAATCGCGCGAAAATTCATTGATTTTTTTTGGCTCTTTTGATTTCGTTCAAAGTACTCAATTTGAATTGACTTGTGTAAAGGGGACTTGCACCAGAAGAGCCGCAATATCACTAAAACAATGAGTAAACCAAATAACACATTGAGTAAATATAAGATAGTGTTCCTGGGTGAACAAGGTGGTAAGTGTTTTTTCTGCTATCTTTTTTTGCTGCAATCTAAGCAGAAGATGAGATGACATTTCAGATCAAAAACAAAAACTGACAAACAAATTTAGTTGGGAAAACATCATTGATTACTAGATTCATGTATGACACATTTGATGACAACTATGCGGTATGTTCGCTCTAGATCAGGGCCCTGATGTTTCTTTTTCTTTTTAATTTTAACTAACATATGTAATAGGCCACAATTGGTATTGATTTTTTATCTAAAACTATGTATCTTGATGATAAAACAGTAAGATTACAATTATGGGATACAGCTGGACAAGAAAGATTTAGATCATTAATACCTTCATACATAAGAGACTCCCACGTTGCAGTTATAGTTTATGATATTACTTCTAAAAAGTCATTTGAATTAGTTGATAAATGGATTGAAGATGTTAAAGCTGAAAGAAGTGAAAATGTTGTATTATGTTTGGTCGGTAACAAAAATGATCTTGCTGATAAAAGACAAGTGTCCTTGGAAGATGGTGAAGCAAAAGCAAAGGAACTTAGCTGTTCCATTTTCATAGAGACTTCAACTAAACTTGGTTATAATGTTAAAAATATGTTTAAGAAAGTTGCCAAAAGTTTACCTGAATTTGAGGAATCTAAGAATAGTCAACCAGAAGGTGAGTATATCATTTGTGATTTTAAAGTAATTTTTAAAGGATAATTTACTAACGATGCATTTGAGTTATTGATATAGCAACTGATAATAACCAAGAGGAAGAATCTCAATGTCAGTGTTGAAAGAATGATAACGTAACATCTAAGGCTAAAAACAAGGTTCACATTGCACTATAATAAATTTACAGAACACATTTTGAACATTTAGAGATCATATTTGTACATTAGATAACCTCAATTATAATGGAGGTATTTTTGAAATGAAATTCATACAATATTGTAGTTTTTTTCAACGCTGACTTGTACATTAAATCATGTGTTCCATGAGCTTGGTGAACATATTATGTATTCCCATCAAATTCTTAAGCTAGATGTGATGATGCAAAACAAAGTGGATTTGGAGCATTTAAAACTTAAAAACAGCTTATAGCTTGATTCAATTATTCTTGAGTATTGGTTTAAACTTTATACATAGTACCAATATAATTTATTTGCGAGCGCGATACCGCGAATATTGACCCGCGTAAATTCTTCACCACTTTAAAGATTTTATCAAATACACAAATAATAAAGATTTTTATAGACCAAAACAACACAAAGCAAATCATATCAGTGCTTTTTTTTATTCATTGAAAGGAAATGATAAGAAATCAACTCATTAATATTGCAAAACCTACCGGGACGCTACCATTTAGAATTCCTATTAGATCAGTTGTTACAAAAAATGATGTTACTCCTTCTAAATTAGCCACCGATTTCCCCTTAAATTCAAACATTCCAAAACCTGCAAACTCTATGGATTATGTATTAACAACTTTGGATAATGTTGCTGACTGGGCTAGAAAATCATCATTTTGGCCTGTGACATTTGGTCTAGCATGTTGCGCTGTGGAAATGATGCATGTCTCAACTCCAAGATATGATCAAGATAGATTAGGTATTATCTTTAGAGCTTCTCCAAGACAGTCAGATATTATGATTGTTGCAGGTACACTAACAAATAAAATGGCACCAGCTTTAAGACAAGTTTATGATCAAATGGCAGAGCCAAAATGGGTTATCTCTATGGGATCTTGTGCAAATGGAGGTGGTTATTATCATTATTCCTATTCTGTTGTTAGAGGATGCGATCGTATCGTTCCAGTTGATGTTTACGTTCCAGGATGCCCACCAACTGCTGAAGCTTTAATGTATGGTGTTTTCAGATTACAAAAAAAGATGTTGGCTGCCAAACCAACCAGAATGTGGTATAGACAATAATACCCTCATTCATTTTTCCTTATTTATTTATTTATTTATTACTTATTTATTATCTATCACATATTTATTAATTATATTTCATCAATTATTCATGTTGATTTGACTCAAAAGAATTGCCAGTTGTGTGTACTGTGTAATGTGTAATATGAGTACTTTAATATAGTATTGGCTGCGAATCGCGATGCATCTCCACATTAATTTTCAGCAGCTAGGCATCGGCTTATGTAAGGGATGTCTCTTTCTGCTGCGAAATGTGAAATTTTCACAGGCAGCTGCTTTTCAATTATAATACAATTATAACTAGTACATATTCATAGTTGACAACTTAGAACAAGATTACAGGGGGCAAATTTGAATTACAACATTGGATATTATTATAAGTGATTCATTGTAACCAGGCCAGTTATACATAGGGAAGCAAATAAAACTGTCCGATATCGTGCTTGAGAAAACTTATACCCCCATCAAAAGTCAAAGTATCGTGATTGTTCAGTATTATGTCGGCCCCACTCATAGCAATCACTTACCATTCAAGTGAAGAAAATGATCAATATCTTCACCAACTATCAGCAGAGAGGAAGCTCAAACATTATTATTTAAATATATTGAGAACTCAAATCAAAGAACTTAAACTTTCCAATGGGGCTATTAATGGTGATCAAGCTAGTCAAGAATATGGATCAGACGCTTCAGATGACGATTCAGATGTTTTAGACGAAGATGAGCTCCTTTTTAAAGATTCAAGCTCAAATCCCAATGAAATTCGTGCATATGAATATAACAAAATATCACTTTTGAAAGATTACCCTGGTAAATATATCAAAAATCATAAGATTTGGACACCTTTCACAAGTCCAAAATGGATAGATTCCAATTTAGTTGAAGGAAGAGATCAGTATAATCAAGAACTTTTAAAATCAGGAGAGCCTATTCCAGCTTCCGAATTCAACAGTGAATCCTTTGATGTTTTTGATGAATCAAAATTCTTAAACTATTTACATCTACCCAAAGTAATGGGTAAAGCACCTTTACCACCGTTGATCTATCATACAACTTGTGAAATAGATGGACAAATATATATACTAGGTGGTGCAACTACTTTATTCAAGGACAACAACGTTTTGGATGATTTATCAAACTATGTGGTAGATGGTGTTAATTTACCTAGACCACTAAACTCTAAATTATTGAACAACCCAAGTATAATTCCAAATGAACGTTTATATACGGTTTCCTCAGAGACAAGTTTAATTTCAAAACCAAAAGCTAGTGGCGATATTCCTCCACCTTTGATTGCAATGTCTGCTAGTAAAATATCAAGCAGACACATATTTTATTATGGGGGATTTGAATTAATAAATCAAGTGGCTTATGATGCTGATTCAAAGAAGATTTACATAAAGAAACATGTGAGGCTAAACAACAGTGGATACGTTTTGGACGTTCGTTGTTTGAAATTCAGAAAATTTGAATTGATTGCACATCCAAATATGTTTACAAGATATCCATTAACCGTTCCAAGATTTGGTCATTCTTCTTGTTCAGTTAATCTTTCAAAGCATTTAAAAATTGAAACAGGAACTGGAGGAATTGCTGCTACAGTTTTTATAATGGGTGGATTTAGACAGGATCCTAATAATCCTTCAAAATTCAAACCAATAAGGGATTTATGGAAAGTTGAATTGTCCATAACTTACAGGGGAAAACATGATTATATCATCTTTGGTGATAATGTATTAGCAACTCCAATACCGGGGCCATTGGATGATAATTTAATCCCTGCAGCAAGAGGATTTCATTGTGCTGAAATTTATGATGCCAATTATGTTCATGGAAAAAGAGCTCCAAATCAAACTAAAAAGTTGCATAATCCAAATAGGATTGGGATTGCAAGACCATCATCTCCTGCATCTGTTTTATCTGAAAGTTCAATATCTAGTACACAGAAAAATGTGAATGGAAATGAAACTTTAGATTTAAAATTAGTTGTTCATGGTGGTACAGATGGTGAATCAATTTTTGGTGATACATGGATTTTTGATTTTGACGACGAAAGTTGGTCACATGTCTCCACATATTTTCATAACTATGACGATGAAGCTCAACCCTTAAAAACAAAATATCAGTGTCAATTCAAGAGAACCGGCCATGGGGCCATTTTAATTGATAAATATATTTATATCATAGGCGGGGCGATGCCATCAGATTTCAACGATATTGAATTGGATTCGAATGAAAATACTTTACCTGATATTTCCTCACTTCTATCATCAATTAAAAACCAAAATGATGTCCAAAATGTTAAAAATGATCATTATCAAAGACTTTTTGTTTTAAATTTGAAAACTCAAACTTGGTCTTTGATCAAATACTTCCATGGGATACTACCTCTGATAGGTACAAGTGGTAGTCTTACATCATTTGGGAATGTTGGTGCTACTGTAACGCAAGCAAATTCAAAAGTATTTGTTATTGGTGGTCAGATCGTTCCACATCATAAATATAATAATAACTCAAAAGAGTACGAGATGAATTTTCTAAATGGAGGTATTTCAATATTTGAATTCCCATTAGCCACGTCATTACAACCAGATTTAAAAAACTACTTATGAGTTAATGAGAAGCCAGACAAATTATTAAACATTATAACCTTCAAGTAATTCAACAATAATAATCGAAGCAAATATTAAAAAAAAGTTTTTTTCTATAAAATATAATAAAGAAAAACAAAGTGTATATTCAAAAAAAAACCAACAGCTGCATGTTAACTATTACTTTTGTGTTGTATTATTCTTTTTTCTTAATAATTAGAATTGAATTAATATTCACAGCTAATCATAAAGACCATCTAAAGCATTATGTAGTAATGATTCCAAAATTTGAACAAAATCTTTAAAATAAGGACCGAATTCTGGAACACCATCCAAAGTGATGTTTGTCTTATTTTTAGTGGATATAATACTATTTGAAATATAATAACCTGTGATATCATTTGGTTGGGAGAATATGAACTCTTCAATCAGAAACTTTGGGTTCACCGCGGTAACTTTTGGTATTCTTAAGCCTAAATTTGAAACTTCTAAAACACCTTTTCTAGGTTGTGGTATACATGATAGAACAAGATCCTTCGAGCAAACATATTTCAGCATACCGATAATTCCAGCAGATTTGATCAATTTTGGTTTAGTGAAAAGTGAATTTATATATTTCACATATCTCCAATCAATAGTTTTCAAATTTGATTGAGTTTTGCAGTTCATTTGCATATGTGAGATTAATAAACCATAATAAGATTGGAATTCATCTAATAATAACGATCGAAGATTAAAGGGAACAGAAATATCGATGTTTTCATTTTTCAATTGAGATAATGCAAGGATATTCAGATAAACCCAAAAGCTGGTAAATTGAACATTTCTAGTTTTTAAAATTGATTTTAACTTGAGGAATTGCTTTGAATCCAAACTTATAATATATTTATATGTTTGATGTGTTAATGTTTTCCCATTATTCAAGACCCAACCTTTTTTGGAGCCTTCATACTTTGTTTTAGGTTTCACCAGGTATCTAACAAATGGTTGTATCCAATCCGGAGAAAATGTTTCCAATACTTTACTTAATAAATGAAGACAGCCTGGTCTGATAAGAGCATTGAACTGTTTTATATCTGGGTTAACCTCAGGAGTAATCTCTTGATCATTCAAGATGTACAACAGCTCCTCATTCATCAATGTTACAGTGGTTCCATCATATAATGTGTGATCCACAACAAACAACAGCCATCTTTGGTTTATAACAATCAGTTTCCAAAGTGGGTTTTGAACCCCAAAAGGAAATATTTGTCTATGCTGATTATTTATAAAGTCACTTAGCTCAAAGACCGACTCATCAAATTGATAAAACTCCACAAAATCATCCCTCCAGCAATTAATCTCCCGTGTGATTAACTTACCTTTGGAATTTGGGAATATATTAAGACGTAGCTTCATTCTGTGACAATATAATTTATGGATAGATTTCAACAACACGTCTTTTTCCACAGAGTTATTCAGCTTGGAACCCACAGTGAAGCATGACCACACTTTTAATTTATTCTTATGATAATTCATTGCCTCAAGCTTCCATAGTTCTTCATCTGCTCCATGGACCATTTTTGTTATAGTATATTGATATTTTTCTCAATTTATTAGGTGAATATAAAATGAATAAAACCAAAGATCAACATATGGAAATAGGTTTGTTATATATATATGATTCTTTAACGAACATTCAGAAAAATATTGGCATAAACAACAGTTATTCACGTAACAATATAGTCTGATTTTTTCGAGGTCAAGCCCAAATTTCACGTTCCTTTAGAGTTAATGAATTCACTGGCACACTGGCAGTGACACCATGCCGTAAATATTTTCTTGTAGGAGCTTGGGAGTGCATACTTCAGCTTTTAGGCCTTATTCGATTATTGTGTAATTTTGTAGAACATAATCATTTTTTTATTGTAGAACCAATACTTCATCTTTAAAGTTTGAGCGAAGAACGTATGTCAGTAACTTTATTTTAAATTACGACTCGGCTTTCTACCCATATAGCTCCTAGCTGTTACTTATGAACCGTGGCTAATCGATATTAAAGAGTCTTTGTATTGATGTAAGTTCATGTCTTGCTATTCTAAGTTGATCTGTGATCAATTAAATTATGCCAGATGAATTATTTTTTTTTGTCCCTATCAACTTTAAACTTTTTGCTTTGAAAATATTTCTTCTAGATGAAATTATCAGTTTACGCTTTCGCTTTTTATTGAATGGTACATGGCATGTATTCTAGATTATGTTATACAATTTATTCAAAATGCTGCTTTAGAAGTAAACGTTAATGCTCATTTGGCTGAATACCTACACTCATATATCAAGATACAAATTAAAGTTACTATAATATACTGACGACTTATCAACTGTACCGTTAAAAAGAAAAATTATTATATTAAAATTATTATCAAGTATAAGCTGACAAACCACCATGTAATCACTCCTAAAAAGGTAAACTTATTTGATCCAGCCAATTTAAGTTGCATATTTTGATGAATTAAAGAAGCGTATATTTGGAACTTTGTTATTAATTATTCATAATACCCATTGATTGCATTTCTCAAAATTGTTTCAACGTTATTTGCATACGTTGGAAATTCATTTGCAAATTCTGGAACACCGTCTAAAATAATATTTGTTTTAGTTTTACTTGAAATCACAGCATTTGAAACATTATAACCTGAAAGATCATTTGGCAAAGAAAAGAAAAATTCTTCAGGGGTATATTTTTTCCATGATTCACCATCTGGATCGACTCTCAATCCCAAGTTTGAAACTTCTAATCCACCTTTTCTTGGTGATTTTAAAGCTGATTCAATAAGTCCACGAGCACTAACATATTTAATCATTCCAAGCATTTGTGATTGTTTTACTTGGTATTTATGTGCAACACTACCATTTAAAAATCTAACAAAATCCCAGTCAATTGAATCATGATCAACTTTGGTATGTACATTTAAAGTAACATGTGAAACTAATAAACCATACCATCTTAAATATTCTGGTGGTAATAAATTGGTTCTCATATTGAATGGAATTGATAAATCAACAGCTGACTTTCCCAATTGTGCAACTGCAAGAACATTGATATATGCCCAAAATGCTGTGAAATTTACACCATGTGATTTTGTTAATTTTTTAATTATGGAAAATTCTTCATTAGTTATTGTAATTAAGTGCTTTAATTTATTTGTTGTTCTTTCAATTTTATGAGTTACTCCCCAATCATCATATGCACCAGTTTCAAATTCACTTTTTGGTCTATAAATCAGATTAACTAAAGGATAAGCCCATTTTGGTGCAAAAGTTTGGATGACAGTTTTGATTGTATGTCCAAGTTTTGGTTTTAATAGATCATGATATGGTTTAATATCTGGAATTCTATCAACTGGGATATCACGATCATTCAATATTGTGATCAAATCCTCACATATATAAAGTGCAGTGTTCCCATCATATAAGGTATGATCACAAAGAATAACTAAATATTGATGGTTCAATACAACCAATTTCCATAAAGGCTTTTGAACACCCAATTCAAAATATTGATTATGTTGTTGTTTAAAAGCTTCAATAATATCAAAATCATCAGTTGGATAATCGACAAAATCAACAAAATCATCAGACCAACCATTTATCTCTTCGGTAACAAACCTTTTTTTAGGATATTGGAAAACATTCAAACGTAACTGAACCCTCAACGTGAATAATTTGTGGATACCTTTTAAAATATCATCTGTTTCTAATTTTTCGTTTAATTTAGCACCAACAAGGAAACATGACCAAGCTTTCAAAGTGGTCTTCCAGTACATCATACGTTCCAGGTTTTCAAGATCTTTGTTTGGTCCAGCCACCATTTTGAATAAAGTTTTATCAGATGTTGATGTTGTCTTATTCTTTGTATTAATTAAATTTATAATTTGTGAAAATTAAGAAGTTGTACCCAGAATTGTTATAAAAGGGCCTTTCTATCTAGATGTTTTAAGTCTCTAACAAAATTTATTGAAAATGTATCTTTCAAATATCAAAATTAACGAGTACCAAAAGTGTGAAATATATTCATATTTATGAGGAACGGGGTCATTACTTATATTTATATGTATCTGCACATTTTTATATGTGATGTTCAAAAGAATCAGACCTCAAGACTTACACAGTGCACACTATTCAGAAACAAAAACAAGTATTGTTTTTAAATAATCTTACTAAATGTTTTTCAAATATTTGCAATTTAGATCCTTGCAAAATACTTTATCATATTTACCGCATAAAGATCTTCAGGTAGTTTACGGGAGTACATGAATGATGAGGTTTATGAGGTTCATGTTTAGTTTAAACGCGTCGTATATGTCACTAAAATAGGACGACTAGCTGGAGAAGGAGAAGAATATTAAATACTAAAGTTTTTAAGTTGAAGGCGACATCGTCCATATGTACATCAATATATTGATGTGATTTTTAACAAAAAAGTTATAAGCTTATATACTCGACACTCGTTATACAGACGCACAGCTAATAAGTGAAGGAGTTAAATCATATGGTACCTCGAAAAAGGTTCAGTTAAAATGGAAATTTCAGTGTGCTTTGATATTGATTTTGATTAATTGTAGTTGAGTCTTGAACCTTGTTTATATGAAGAGCCTTATAAATTTTGTATTACACATGGACTTAATTTTGCATAATAATTAAAGCAAAACTGAGGTAGAAAAAACCAAGGAGCAGGGGATCCATGTACTGTTCTTTTTGTTCATATAAACTTGCTGAAGCTTGCACCTCGTACCGTTGAATGCTAAGTAGTAACTTGAACTTTTAAAAGAAAATATAACTACGGTTTTAGTGTGAAGAAAGACGAAGACGCTGCTCAAGGTAGACATCAGACAGACATCGACATGGATTAGCTTTGTTTAACTGGGGTTTAGAACTGCTCTGGTTGTTTGTTGATGTGCGTCACGGTTGTCAAACAAGCTGATATTGCAGTTAGATCTACGTTCGCAGCTTCTCTAGAGTCTCAATGCAGGACCCAGCTCAGAACCATGTTATGGTGAGAAAAAAAAGGGTAAGTACTAAGTAGTAATTACAGAGCTGCTGGGCAATAAAGCTAATAGATACAAAGTTGAACATGATTTTACATCACTTGAAAGATTGTATATGTATATATAGGCCAAAGTTCTGATCTAGATTTATGTATAAAAAACTTGAATGAAATCGCCTACATTATAACTTGTTTTGGGATATTTAAAGTGAGGCTCTAAATATGAGCCATTAATAATATAGGCTGCACCCGTGTGATTCCCGAGTATACCCGACCGTGTTCTTGAATTTAATCCCATATAATCCATGATCCATGATCCATGATGCACCAGGCGCCACGCCAAACTCGGGATGTTGAGATTTTAAACAAGACTAGAGATAGTGCAGTACAAGAGACTAGTCGTGGACAGACGGCATTGATAATGAATGATCATGCTATAGATATATAGTTATATTATATAGGTATATATATTAATTTTATATAACATATCTAATTATATATATTAGTACGTACGTCTCGAATATTAATATTGAGAGCTGTTAGTTAATATTTAAGAGATATAATATATCTGACTAGCCAAATTAACATATTATATATACCTAGATATTACGTTTAATTAATATTAATATTAACGTATGTCAAAAATTAAATATTGTTTGAATATAAAAGTTAATTAAATATAAGTGTGCCATTTCTATTGTCGAAGATACCACGATCTATAAATATACAAAATTCAATTATATTTCAGCAAGCTATACAATATAACTGCTCTTTGAATTTAATTACACCAAAATATCTTTGATTTTCGACTCACTCAAGTTGCTTCAATACGTTAATAGTTGCTTCACATAACCTGATCAAATCTGCTTCTTCAATAATGAATGGTGGCATTAAATAAATCAATTTTCCAAATGGACGTACCCATGCACCAGATTCAACAAATTTTTTTTGTAGATACTCCGTTTCATATGGGGTTTTCAATTGAATAACTGCTAATGCACCAATTCCACGAATATCATCAACAGTTGAATCCATGAGGTTTGAAGATTTAATCTTGTCGAAAAGTTCTAAGTTGAAAATCTTCTCAATATTATTGACTTGATTGATCCAGTGTCCCCGTTGTAATATCTCGAGTGATTTATTACCAACTGCGCAAGCCAAAGCGTTTGCCATATACGTTGGGCCATGGAAGAATCTTTTACCAGGACTTTCACAAACGAACGAAGATACATCTCTTGTCATTAATACAGCACTCAAAGGTAGATAGCCACCCGTTAAACCTTTCCCACATAATAAAATATCAGGGATAATCTGTGAATGTTCATGGGCAAATAACTTACCTGTTCGACCAAAACCTGTAGCAATTTCATCTAATATTACTAAAACATTATATTCATCACATAATTTACGCAATTGTCTCAAATATTCAGGATGATAAATTCTCATACCACCTGCTCCTTGAACTATTGGTTCCAAAATAACGGCCGCGATTCTTTCATGATTTGAAATTAATTGCTTTTTCAAAGGTTCAAAATCTTTTGGATCCCATTCTTCATTGAATCTTGTCTTTGGAGCATCGACGAAAAAATTATTTGTCAAATAGCCACTATAATTTCTATGCATGGAGTTTATTGGATCACAAACTGACATTGCACCAAATGTATCACCGTGATAACCATAATTGACTGTTAAGAATCTATCTTTTGGAAACTTTGTTTCATTTTTTTCTCTTTTACCAGCCCAATAAAGGTGTGCTAATTTCAAACCAACTTCAACCGCAACTGAACCTGATTCAGCATAAAAGACACTATCTAAAGGTTCCGCAGTCATTGATATTAATTTCTTACTTAGTTGAACAGCTGGCTCGTGAGATATACCAGCAAACATGAAATGTGTGAATTTAGGAACTTGATCATAAATTGCTTGATTTAATTCTTCATTACATCCACCATGTATTTGACACCACCATGAACTCATACCATCAATCAAATCTGTTCCATCTTCTAAAGTTATATGGGCACCTGATGTTTTAACAATTGGATAAGTTGGAATTGGCGAGGTTAATGATGAATATTGGTGCCAAATGTGATCACGGTCAAATTCTAAGTCAATAGTCATTTTTCTTTGGATTTTGTTTTGACAATTCTAATACTTTTTTGAAGTGTTTGAACGTAAAATTTGTGCATCAATACACTTTTTATATCTAAATTCCCACAAGTATGGAACGATGTTTCTTGACTATTGAATCAAGAGCCCCCAACAAAAGTTGACTCAAATTGAGTCAGACAGAAAATCCAACATGTATAAATGTGGTCATTTTGATTGGATCTCTTAGACTCACGAGTCACTGCCTTATTCAGATTAAACTGTCACAGTGTCAAAGTTGCAACTCCATACACTTTTAATAATTTTCCAAATTAACCTTTAAGTGTAATTCGCGAATACAAATTTCCAATTCGGAAATTATTTTGAGTCATCTGGAAATTAAATTATTTCAATATGATTCAACAGTTACTCAACAATCACAGACGTTGGTGTAAATGATTGGCATGCAAAAACAGTAGGAGGTTCAACAGAAAGGTTTGGAAATAATCATGGAGTATGATCCAGGTCGTGTCAATTACGAGGTGCAATAACTGATTATGACTTATGACTGTGCAAAATGTATTTAAAGGCAGTGGTTTCCAGCTAATCATGCGTGTTATAAAATTTAATAATATTTAAATTATTTTGACATCAATTAGATCAAGAATACAAATTGAGTTGTGAAATGACTGTTATAGATACCAATGAATATTTAGGGAACTCAACAACAAGGACATTACATAGAATAGAACTATCTGAGCTTTCAAAACCTATTGAAGATGAATTGGTTTCAAATACCCCTAGTCTAGCTGAAACCAAAAAAGCATCCATAATTGAGCCACCAGTGAGACAAACTGAAACTCCAAAGATCACATTGAAGGATATTTCAGTAAATTATAATGATGCCACTGTTGATAATACAAGTGAAATCTTGGAGAAATATGGTGTGGTTATTGTTAAAGATTTCATGAACAATGTTCAATTGGATAAAATTAAATCAGAACTTGATCCAATATTTGACTCTAAAAAAAATGATCCAAGATTGTATCCAAAGGAAACAATAAGGGTGACTGCTTCTGTTTCTAAATCACCAGCTGTTGTTCACGAAGTTTTAAAAAATCCATTACATGTTCAATTAAGTGAGAAATTTTTAGCTAAAAAAAATGCATTTTGGATTGGTAATAATTTGAATATTGGATCCTCACCAGCTATAGTCTCAAGCTCCATTGCATTTAGAGTTGGCCCAGGAGCAAGCTATCAAGCATTACATAGAGATGATCATTCAGAGCATAATATAATTGAACATCAAGATTTATATAGATATGGGTCTGATACACAATTAGGCGTTTCTGTTGCTTTGAGTCAAGTCACAAAGCAAAATGGAGGTACAAGATTTATACCAGGATCACATTTATGGGATCATTTGAGGAAGCCTAAAGAGGAAGAATGTATGACTATTGAGGTGGATGAAGGTGATGGATTTTTCATGTTAGGGTCTGTGTTTCATGGTGCCGGTAAGAACATAACTAATGATGAATTTAGAACTTTATTAATTCTATTTATGTGTGCTGCAACTTCAAGACAAAAAGAAAACATTTATCTAACAACACCAATCGATTATTTTAAACAATTTGACACCGAAGAATTGAAATTATTAGGTCTCAGTATGAGTGAACCATTTTCTGGTATGCTTGAGTTACAAGATGCCAGAGCTAAACTTAAACCAGGATTTGTAAGAAAATCAAATTACTCAGATGTTTGTCAAGTCTCAGATGTTAATTAAATTATATAAATCATTTCAATTAATCAGTTATATATATATACATCTTTTAAATTAGGAACTAAATGTTCAACTTCTTGTAAACTTTTTGACTTTGGTATTTGGCAAATGATGTTGACACCATAAGCTTTCAATGTATCGGCATTATCATTGTTGATATCACCATTAAGAATAACTCCCAAAACCTTCACTTTTCTATTTTGTAAATGTTCAATTGTTAATAAAGTATGGTTTAAAGTGCCCAATTCAGATCGAGCAACAACAATCACAGGAACATCAAATTGTTTTATTAAATCAGTTGTAATTTGTTTGTCATTAATTGGTACTTGGACACCACCAGCACCTTCGATAATCAATGGAAGATCTTGTATTTCATTTGGGATGTTGATTGTATTGAGATCAATCAATGATTTTGATTCCAAAACAGTAGCTCTCCAAGGACTTAAAGGTAATTGAAGTTCCACAGCTGGACTTGAAGTCTTCAATTCCGCCCCTATTAAGCCTGTGACTGTTTTAGTGTCACCAGGATCACAGTTTAAGCCAGTTTGGAAAGGTTTCCAGTAAGCCATTTTCCATTTCTTAACTAGTAAAGCAGATATAAAGGTTTTACCAACATCAGTATCAGTACCTGTAATGAATATTCTTTTAGGCATTTCATCCATTTTACACTAGATTTAGACTTATATACAATTGTGTATAATGAAATGATGATATGATGATGTATTTTATATACAAAAGGTTCAACATTTTGAAATCTCATAGTGATTACGTACGTAAGTGCGTATTTGAGTATTTGAGTCATGTTTTGACTCAAGTCCGAGTCATCACATAGAAGATATAATTGGCATCAACAAGGTGTACCTGTACACAACGGAACCCAACAATCAGTTGATTTACACTTTGACAAAGTCATCCATCATAAATATGACTACTGCTGCCCGCATTTTGAATAATCACCTAGTATTGACTCTTCACGGATATAAAATCAATTGATCATCTAAGTTTCTTCATTCAAGTTGATTGTTTTCAGATCTAGGTATATATCAAAACTTCGAAGTCTTAATTGATTGAAAAATACAATGAGTTCGATAGAAGATAAACTTGAGTTTGATCGTAAACACATTTGGCATCCATATACTTCGTTGACTAAACCATTGACTTGTCACCATGTTGATTCTGCAGATGGGGTTCACATAAACTTGAGTTCTGGTGAAAAATGTGTTGATGGTATGTCATCTTGGTGGTGTGCAATTCATGGTTACTCAAATTCAGAACTGAACAAGGCTGCTTTGGAACAAATAGGTAAGATGTCACATGTTATGTTTGGTGGATTAACACATGATCCTGCCATAAAACTAGTTGAAAAATTATTAAAACTTGTTGATGATAAATTGGATTGTTGCTTTTTAGCAGATTCAGGTTCAGTTTCTGTTGAAGTTTCCCTCAAAATGGCTATCCAATATTGTCATGCAAATGGTCAGCCTCAAAAAGATAGATTCTTGACTATAAGCAATGGGTATCATGGTGATACTTTTGGTGCAATGTCGGTGTGTGACCCTATAAATTCGATGCATACTTTATATTCAGGTTATATGTCAGATAAACATATTTTTGCACGAACACCACAGTGTAAGTTTAATGAAGAATGGGACCCTAAAGATGTTGTGGATTTTGAACAGAAACTCATCAGTAACCATAAAAATATAGCTGCTGTTATAATAGAACCGATATTACAAGGAGCAGGTGGAATGAGAATGTATCACCCAATGTATTTAAAAAGAGTTAGACAGTTATGTGATGAATATGGTATTCTTTTGATTTTAGATGAGATTGCTACTGGTTTTGGCCGTACAGGTAAATTGTTTGCATATGAACATAGTGATATAGTGCCAGATATATTGTTGGTTGGTAAAGCTTTAACTGGTGGTTATATGACACTCGCAGCATTGACTTGTCAAAGATTTGTTGCAGAAATGATTGGTAATGACCCCAAAACAGGTGGAAGTATGATGCATGGTCCTACGTTTATGGGTAATCCTTTAGCATGCGCCGTTGCAATCAAATCACTGGAGTTGATTGAAACTGGAGAATGGAAGAAACAATGTAAATTTATTGAAAGCATACTCGGAACTGAATTGATGAGACTTGAGAATTGCTCAATTGTAAAGGATATAAGAATATTAGGAGCGGTAGGTGTAGTGGAATTGAATTTACCAGTTGATATGGGATGGTTTCAAAAACTATTTGTGACTAAACACAATGTTTGGATTCGTCCTTTCAATAGGTTAGTTTATATTATGCCACCGTACATTATTAAAGAGAAAGAGTTGTTACAACTGACCAACGCAGTTGTTGATGTTGTACAATGCTTTTCACAAAAGGTATAACGTATCTAATATAAATATCTACAAAGAACTTCCATTGTAGTTGATTAGCCTTTCAAAAGCTTCAACTAAAGTTAAATCATAGAGAATCAAGTTTGTTTTGAGTGAAATTACACACGTAATTGAACAACATATGGAAATTTGATCAAAAATCTTATTGGTGCATCCCAGTAATACTATCGTAGTTTAATATATATATATATATATCGCAAGATTACAATAGCTAGCTGGTATGTTTGGAAAGATAACATTAAAATAGTGAGATAACTCGTTTTAATTAACTGGTTCTTATAAAAGTGAATCATATTTATTAACTAGAATTAACCTTATTTTGATGTCTCTTCTCTCCTATTTCACCATCCCATCCGTTTTCTTTTAAATATTCATTAAAGTCTTCATCTAAAAAGTCCAACTTTCTATCACCATGATCAGGAACACCTAGGTAAACAACTATTGCACCTAGAATACTCAATGCCCCACTTAAATAAAATGTTGAACTTTTACCCTTTGAAACCTGTAAAGGTGTGAATATTTCAGTACCAATTGCAGCTCCGGCTTTTCCAATTGCAGCAGAGATACCATATAATGTTCCCCTAATTGCAGAAGGAAATGATTCAGTACTGACTGCTGATTGTAAACTTGCTGGGCCAAAATTGATCAACATGTTTAATATGGCGTAAAAAATAATGAGTAATGCTGGAATTTCAGTAAACTTTTTGAATGCACCACCAACAACAAAACTAATTATAGCATATCCTATGAAGCCGATAATGATAACTTGTCTTCTTGTGAAGAATTGTAATGCTAGACAACTTAAAAATGTACCAAAAACTGCAAAAGATGAAAGAAATAATTGCCATTCTCCAGTTTTTTTCAAGGACGCACCCGGGATTGCAACTTGTAAAATAGATGTACTGAGAATATTATTTGGATATAAAATCATATCCATAATAAACCACATACCTGAAGTACATATGAAAGGTTTCCAATACTTCTTCGCAACTAATAAATATGGCACATTTTTTTTGATTGCATTGGTCTGATATGCTTTAGAATGGATCAATTTCCATCTGAAATAAAAAACTGAAATTGGAATAAATGCACCGATAGCAAAACAAGTTCTCCAAATACCGTTAAGATGATTTGAGCCCCAAATTTCGTGAACAATTAAAAATATGATAGTAGCAAATGGGACACCAAAAGCAATGAATAAATTTGTTGATAAGATAAAAGGAACTATTCTTTTCTTTGCGCTTAATGTTTCATTGACAGTCTCAATACCAGAGGACGCAGCAACAGGATATTCACCACCAATTCCAAAACCAGAAATACCTCTACCTATAATAAGCATCCAGAATATTTGATTTTCGCTTGAACCTCTAGCACATGCACAGATAATTACACCAATGATAATAAATCCTGTAGTGTAAATAAAGGTTTGCCTTCTACCCAATCTATCTGTTAAAAACCCAAAAAAAATTTGACCGAATATATTTGCAACTAACAAAGAATTAGAGACCATGGTCTTGTAATTTGTTGAATAGTTATGAAATGTTTTAGCAAAGACAGCATTTGCCATAGTCATTACCCCCTATATAAAGTTAGTAATAGATTACCAGTAATAATAAAGTTGAAATTAAACATACTTGGTGATATCCATCACTCCAAAAACCAGCAGAGCAACTAAGAATACCTGCAAACTTGACCCAAAAGCTTGGTTTCTTCTCTTGATGCTGTTCCAGCTCTAAAGCATGATCAAAACTTGAGACATTTTCGATGCTCTCAGCTTTTGTATTTATATCAATTTCCTTTGACATGTTATATAATAACGTTGTATGTTAATTAATATGATTCAACATTCATCATTTTTCAATATATCAGTACAAATCATGTGTTTATATAGTTGTACAATATAATTTTAGCAGAAAATGGGATTAGCTTTTTTTGGTTAATAATGTGATTCAACGGTAAATCATGATACAGTACCTAATAAACGTTTTGTAATTCATTTTGTTATTGCATTGTTGTTGAAAACGTGGATCAATGACACACACGACGTCGAAGTTGGTGATGTTCAAAATTGATCACATATAACTTTTTCACACAGCTGACTCCATGGGATGAAGCAGAAATAGCTTTCATAGAAGTGAAGCATTCAAGCGTCACATATGGTGTCAATGCAGTTATGTGGTACCTGCTTCAAAAAACACTCTTGAATCTTGATTTTATTATTATCGATTATTTTTTTTAATGCGCGATTGTAATTTGTTTTTCAAATAAACGTGTTATACTTCATTAACCAGCGACCACTTAGAAGTTCATTTGAGAACATAACTTGCGGATATAACTTAAAACGATGTTACATTGTATTGTTCGATTGTCGGTATGTGATCACTGATAAGGGATTATGTGTCCATCATCTCGTTGTGTTTTCATCTTGACGTTACTTCATTCCAGTATTGCTTTTTCCTCTAGGTAAAGGAAGCGGGTTTAAATGGACTTATCCCTTTTATAAGCAAGCCAGTCTATTCGTAATGATGAAGTTCATGAAATTCACAATGTGCATATAAAAACAATGGATCTGTCGCTATTGTATATCAGTACCACAGCTAAAAGCTGATTTTTCGAGAGCCAACAATGTCGTTTGAGGATAAAGATATTGAATTTTTCAATCTATTTGATAATCTACACCTAGTTGATGATTGAAATTCAAAAGAATACTTATATTCATAGAATTAATTCTGAATGATTATATATAGGTTTTGCTTGAAGATGTTCTAGCTACTGGTTATTCATCTTATGGAAGTAATAATACGTTTTTTTAATGAACATCATTATTAATCAAATCCATTTTCAAATCAAAATCAAATAAATAATTTGTGTGTTATTCAATTGGCTTATTATGCTGTTACTGCAAGAGTTTTAGGTTATCATCCATGTGAATTAAGAGATTTATTGTCTGGTGCAACTGGTAATTCTCAAGTTTTAACTAGCGTTTTAGCTATTGCTGAATCTAATTCATGGGAATCATTCTTTACTACTTTGAATAAATCTGTTACTTTTTTATTCTTTATTGGTGTCCGTTGTTATCAAGTTTATCCAAATACCACTTTACCACCATCAATTTTACAAGATTCTGATGAAAATGGTGAAGGTGTTACATATCCAATGTTATCAGTATTATATGTTAGAGGTTCAAAGAGATGGATTGATGTTTCATTAAGAAACTTTGTTGGTTCAATTTTACCTGGTGCTTTCCTTATGGATATCAAAAAATTATAACTTTAGAAATAAAAATTAATGTGTATAACGTATGTAACTAAACATGTCGAATTTATATAGATAAATCATGTAGCTTTTGTCGTGTACAAGTTCTTGGCTTGTTGTAAATTCTGAAAGTTTCAAAGTCAAATTTGTTTGTGTCGGTAATCACTAATATTGAAAAGGTAAATTTCACAAGCTTTTGCGAATATATGAATAAAGCACTATATGTAGTAGCTTTAGAAATAGGGTTCTGCTTTTTTTATCATCTAAATCACCTAGCTTTGTATTTCAATCATTCATTGTATTGTCTTCTTTGTTCTAATGTTGTAATTTTGAGATTCCAAAATGTTAAGTTTTGAGTTTATGAAAAAAAGGTAATTAAAAAAGCTTATTGGCTGGGATAAGGAA